CTCGTGTACTATAAAAGAAGAGACAAATAATTTCACATTAAATTCTGTAACATTACATCTAAATATAGTTATAATCCAAAGTAAATTATATTACGATGTCAATGGACTAAATTCCCGCGCAAATGTCATCACTGGGATAGACCAAAACGAATTTTAGGTTTATGTATCATTCACATTCCGATCAATTTACTCAGTTAAATAAAATATATGTGTTAACTATTTTTATATTGGTTTTGAATTTAGTTAATCTATCAGAAAAAGGATTTATTTCTCGCAGATAGCCCTCAATACTATACACCAACTCGACACTGAAGCTAAAAAACCCTAAAACATAATAGTATATGGAATCGTCCAAACGGATTACCTAATATTGATATAGGTGAAATATGTAGATTCAGAATTGTGTACACAGAAATGAGATCAGAAATAAAGCCCTATGTAAGGTGAAAACAATAACACAACTGTATAAAATCATTGTTTATTAAATTTGCTTGCATAAGAACCATGAAGTTAAAATTTATAACGATTACGTTTACCCTGTCAACCCCTTTTCTTCATTGCATCAAGGCTTCCGTTGCTTTACATCGAGCAGCAATTCAACCAATCGGGGAATGTTAAGTTGGGACATACCTCTATTTTTGGAAGCGTGATCTTTACATCGAGGCTTGCGTTGCTTTACACCGAGGCCACAGTAGTTCGACCAATCGGGGAATGTTTATTTGGGGCATGTGACCTATTGAACTGCAGGTTTTATAATATTTTAATCGAAATTGTAGAAAAATGAAATGTTGTTAGTACATACAAAACAGAAAAAGATGAATACTTTTAGTAAAAGATAATTTGGATCCGGGTTCTGTGTATTCACATCATTTGTACAACTCTTCTTACTGATGCCATTTTTTGGAATTTCTGTGACCTAAATGGTTCGCGAAAATTAATATTTTATTATATATATAGTAAATACATTACTTCGTTGGTTAGAAGATATTTATGAATTATACGTTATTTTGTCTTTAAAATCTAAAGGGCTTTTAAAAATATTTTTTATCATAGTTCCAGACTGTGTAATGTGCATTTACAAAAGGGGATAAAATGAAAACAGCAAAGAAGCCCTTAGCTATTTGAAGTCGCTGAAACCTGATTACTTGCCTGTTATGTTTGTTTTATTAGTTTACTGATAGATTAAAGGAGGACGGGTAGAAGAGCCATGCCATATATTCATTCGCATGTCCCAAGTCAGAAACCTCGTCAATTGTTCTCTTATGTTATAATGTCATCTTCTGTTATTTGGGAATCGAGTGTTTATTACAGATGTTTGACTATTTCTGTTTAATTGATTAACAATTGTAATAGACTATGAACGAATTAGAAAAAAGTAAAATCACAAAAATACTGAACTCCGAGGGAAATTCAAAAAGGAAAGTCCCTAATCAAATGGCAAAATCAAAAGCTCAAACACATCAAACGAATGGATAATAGAGCGTATAGAGCGTAACATCTTATATAGATTCCTGTCTCTTGTTGAAGACTGTATATTGCTTAGGCCTTTTTGTTACTTTTGACACTGGGTTGCAGTCTCACTGATGTATACCCAAAATCTACTTTTATTATGGCACCCTCAACAGAGTTGGGGTAACATATAGTTATTAGACGTTTCAATTTTCTTATTTTTATTTTTATTCCACTTTTTTGTCCAACTTATATCTTGGAATTGAATGAACAAATTTTAATGGAACTATACAAAAATGTTAACCAGCTTGTGAAAATTTGCAATCGGATATTGCATTTTCAAGATGGCTACCCTTGCTATGGAAACCGAAAAATGAGAAGAAAAAAATTTAAATCTTTTAATATAAGACCTAACTGAATGAAACTTTATGGAAATGTCACCTGGTATCCCTAGATGTGCAGACAGTATTTAAATTTTCCGAAATGGCCACCATTGTCATGGAAACAGGGAGAAAGTTTAACATTAAACCTATGGGAAAATACATTAGAGTAGCATTGTCTTAAAGAATATTTCATCAAACACAAAATAACTATATGGATATTTAACATGGCATGTGCCAATGTGGCATCTGTCCTTGGAATTTTGGAAATGGTCACTTTTACTATGGAAACAGTAAAAATTTCAAAAATTTCAAAATGCTCCAAACCTAATGAAACTTTACATGTGTAGATGCGCTGTTCGACTTTGGAATTTTGAAAATGGCTGCCATTACCATTGCAATTGGGGACGAGAGTGACATCAGCTATTGCTAGCAATTGCAAATCTATATTATTTCATTTGTACTTATTGGAAATAAAATAATTGGTACTTCATGCCTAGAACCGGCAGAGGGAACTTTTTAATTATTATAAATCGAATCTACATAAATTATACTTTGCTTTGCACATGACCCATTAACTGAGGCAGAATTTAATATGCTAGCTAAAATGTACTTGTAAAAAAGTCTGCAGAAAGAAGTCAGTCTAATCTGGATTATTATTTTATCTTTCCGCTACCTTATAAGAATACGCTTGTGCTACTACTGGTAAATACTTAATACTCAGCAGACAAGTATCAAACAAAAATCTTAACTTGGTTTGACTTGGTACTGGATCGAATTTACTATTTCAAAATCACAAGGCAACCAGGCAGTAGGAATACCACAGAGACTGGCATTTGGTTTTTAGAGATGAGGTTAATTTCTAAACTAATGCCAATCATTTGTGCCATATAACTCTATAATTTGTTATCAAATACCTATGAAGAAATAACTTTCAAATTTGCATTGGACAAGGAGTTCATTATTTTCTTACAAGTCAGAATAATTAAGCCTTTTTAAACCAGTTCTAACTTCATACTGTTTTGGAAAAAAATATTTCCATTTTAAAGGCGAAAAATAATATTCATCAAATCATCTTCTTCGTTGTTCCCTTTTTTACCATCTGTATCTATTATAGCTTTTTTTATCTTTAAGTTCTTGACTTTCAAATATTGTTCAAAGCACTACTGACTTTTGCATTTTTTATCACTGCATACTTTTGCTACTTTAGTGTCCGTATACTTTTGCGAAAGCCATTTATTAAATACTTCAGAAAACAACACCTTTCACGTCTAGAATGGCGTTCCATATTTTTTTTGACAAGGCCGTGACTTTCGATAGACAATATCGCTAACTCTTTTCAATACAGTTAAAGGGTGTACACATTTTCACATTTTGCATGTGAAATAATTTGTTTTAAATATAAAATTGTGTTGTTAAAAGTTCTAGTTATTTCCTGAAATAAGGCGGCGCAAAAGAATTTGGCAAGTGTTTAAATGACGTCACACTAGAATTTACATTTCTGGTTTTTGTGAATTAGCTGTTGTTCTAGAAACTGATTAGTTTCTCATATATGTCTTATTGACAAATCAATTTAGTATTATTACATATAAAAGCATAACTATAAGTGAAAACATAAATCACAAGCTATTCTATTGTTGTAGTTATCTCCCTTAACGTTTACGGCGGCCCATTCAGGATAATATCGGCAAGTCAAACAGACACAATATTAAACCCCTGAAAAAATCATTTTGGACAATTTTGATTTTGAAAGACTTTTTATATGTTGAATATGACAATGATATGATACTATAAAAGCAAAAATACTTTCTGTTGCAATTTGTTTAACGTTTTTCATAGATTGCCTGGACTATTTATTTTGTTTACTAAAAGGTACGCAATAGTAATTTATTTGGCGATATTTATTGACTGGCCTTGGCCGAAGGCTGACAAAATTTGCTGTCCCCGTATGATGCCGATCCTAATCCACATATGTGAGGGTCTGAATCGAGTTTACAGAATAGAGAAGAATGCTCCCAAAATATAATGATTCATAGAGGAAAATGTCCCAATATATCGTTTGAGAATAATGGGGTGCAAAAGTATAAAAAATAACAGAAAAAAAAGAATTCGGTAATATAATACAGTATACTTACTACAGAAATGAACGATGTAGAGAATAAACAAAAGAACGATGTACAAAATAAAGAAATCATTGAACTACAGAAAGTTTTAATAGTAAAACCTTTTTCATGACAATTTTAAATGATAAACGTTATTTTTAAAGATAAAGAAAAATCCCCTAAAAATTGAAAGAATACAGAATTCAATGACCCCCATTCAGACCCTCATATGTGGCATTGAGGAAATTTAAGGTCATTCTTGGAAATTTTTTAATTAAAATGTGCACAACATTTGGACCAAATACGGAACTCATTATTTAATCTGGCCGCTTTATGTATAATCATTTTAAATAAAACTTAACCTAAACTAGAAAAATCCTACACCTCTAATTGTTCAGTTAATTATTGGTTACGAGGTCTTGCATGAGGGTTTGGACGGGGTTTACAGAATAGAGAATAAATAAAGGGTCAAGAAAAGAGAAAATTGAGCCAAACAATCAAGAATAAGGAAAAATGGGCGAAAAAATAGAGAAAAATTATAGTGAAAAAAAGGGAGGCTTAAAATAAAGAATAAAGCATAATGGGCAAAATGAATAAAGAATTCAGAAAAATAGTCTAAATATTGAGTAAAGAATGCGGAAATGAAGACCCGCATCCATTCCCTTCTCTAAAAACAGGGGATGCCAAGGGATTCAAAATTAAATGTCTTCTTCGGATAAAATATATCATAATCATGTTAGATCAATCTTTTGTAATATCGTGCATGTAATAAATATTTTAGTATTATAAAGTATTTTCTTACGTATATAGCATTTATTGTTGTTTTTTATCGACTAAAATATTGTTTAAACCGGCAATAAACATTATGAATAAATAGAAGGAGTGGAAAAGTGAAATTTCACAATGATTCATAATAAAACGTTTCTTCTTTATAATTGAAATATTACATGCTCAGGTAGAAGAACACCTTAGATTTTTGTTTATTTTATTTACACACACGTTTACACACATTGACAATACATTTATGATGATATATTATACTTAAAGTCTCAAGTACTTAGTATCACACAATATAATTATATATTCAGTGTGTATCACATGTATCAGTTGCACAATTTTTAACCACGGGAAAACCAATATGATTATACTACTTTATCAAAAGGACTTTTATACATGTAACTATCATTTCTAGTGAAAATGGCATTCACATAAGCGTGGTAAGCAAGTTTGGTAAGTTTTTTCTATATTAATTTTTTTTTGTGGTTTGGATGATCACATATTGACAAAAACACATTTGAATCAGATTTCCTGTCTTTCAAACATAATGTTATGTCTCTATCAGTATTAAATTAAAACGACTAGAAAAATAAAAAAAATATTGAAATATAAATGCCGGAAAGTTGAAACATTATAGAGATATATATAAGACTTGTTTAAACAATTAAGTGACGAAATGTTAATTCGAAATATCTCAAACGAATCATATTTAAAATTCATTAGACCTTAAATATTGATATAACATACTGAATAACAACGAATTTATTCAGGATCAGACTGAATTGGTTACATTTTAGTAACAACGAATAAGCAATAAGTTTTACAGGAAACGCCATTATATGGTATGGTATTTGCCGCAAACAGGTCAAGGTTTCCTGGGGAGGGGGGAGGGGGGGGGCTCAATCTTTTTGTGGTAAGGGTGAGTATCTGATATATCCAGTATCCCACTTAATTTATATATTTGGTATATTAAAAGTATAAATCTTATCATATATGTTTTGACAAAAACAACATTTAGCTATAAACAAATTAATGACCTCAACCTTGTCTTATGTTTAATCAATATTTCTATACTTTATCATATATAATGAAGATTGAAATTATGACCTTTTCCCAGGTTTCCTTCCTGCCACTCGATACATAGTAAGTTTTTTTTTTCTCATGTAGAATAACATGTGTGAATTATCTTTTTAACAGATATTACGGTTGAAACTTTTTTGAATACGGTAACAGTGATTATAAATTAAGGTGGTACCCAACACCTTGACTAATATTAATTTGGCTCGTTTAATTTTCCTAAAATTTTGAAAAAAAGTTTACTTTGACCCTTTGACAAAAATATAAAAATTTCGAATAATTTGAACCAACCACTTTATCAGAAAAATTTCACTGGTTATATAGCAGTTTGACAAACACTAATTTTGATCATTGAGAAGCTTAATATTTCCTTAACAATACAACGTGATTAAAACGTTTAGTTGATTTTTACAGAGTTATCTCCCTGTAGTGTTAGGTACCACCTTAAAGTCATGTTTACAGTTACAAAAAGTTCAAATTACAGTACTTTAATTTTTTTCATAATATAAAAATAAGAAGATGTGGCATAATTGACGACAAGAAAACACTCCACCAGAGAACATAAGATTGGACGACATCTACATTCATACAAGTTCATTCAGAAATTTTTTAATTTTAACCTACTTTGACTTTTGATTAAGTCTTGTAATATGTGCTTCCATGCAATTCAAATAGTCTCTGATATTACAGTATCAATTACTTGACTTTAACCAAAGTATAAGTGATTCTAGGAAAAATGGTCAACTATATTTTTTATGATGACCTGTCTATTAAAATGCACGTCCAGTAGAAAGTATATTGGTCCTAGTATATTCTCTATTTCCCCTCCTTTGTCTTTATCATTATTACTTTTGTTTGGGTAGAAATTACTTTATCTATTTAGTTCAAGCCGAAGAAGACTGCATCTTACAAAGTTTTAGTTTTTTTAAATCCATTTTCATATATAAGGTTTACCGTAATCCTAGTGAGAGCTATAGCGTTGAACACTTTGAAAATCTTTAAATAGCAAGTCCAGATAATTAGCAGTCAAAGTGTTATAAAAAAGACTCAACTCTTTTATTTTATTTCTCAATCCCCTGAATTAAATTAGTGAATTTGTAAAAAAAGAATTCAATAAGTTCAGTGATTTTGAAAAATCCCTAATCAAAATCAGGAATTTTATAAATTCCTTTATCAATTTAGAGATTATATAAATTGCCTGAATTTTCAGGGATTTTACAAAATCACTTATTTTACAAATTCACTGTAACATATAGCTATACAAAAATAATCAAATGCGGAATGATTGCCAAGGATACAACTATATCCACCAGAGTTCAAGTGACGTTGATGTAAGCAATTATAGGCCACCGCATGGCCTTCAACGAAACCCATACTATATGTATGATATAAAAAGTCCCGACATGACAAAATGTGAAACAGCAGCAAAATAAGGACAAACTGTATCCCTATACCTAGGTTCTTTTTACCATCTCCTCAAACCTACCATAATATCAAGACATTACTATCCAGACAGTTGCATTTAACTGCAGACACATGAAGATGTCTATACAAAACAGCGAACAATCATGCAATGGAACTACCAGTTAAGCTGTTATATATTGAGTGCAGTAAGGAGTTTAAAACACGACCCAGTTAATATCAGCAACATTGTTTTAACAATGTGAATAATTTATTTTTAAAACATACTGTTTATATGCACCAGTAATTAGTGAAATTTAAAAAATGCAGCCATGCTGGACGATGTCAAGACAGTGTGAATGATGGGCCGCTGACCATTTCAAAATGTTCAAATAGATGTAGAGATCGATGTAGAAGGTTAAGCATTATGTTTGCTCTTAAAATCATAGAGAATTGACTACAGGTCAGATATATAGCCCGTTAATCGTCTACATGTATTCAAATAAGGGATATCCAGCAAGTGTATACGTTTTTTTTAACTATTAACGAGCTCAGTATTTATCTGACATGTAATCAAGTTCCTATGCTTCAAACCCCCGTTATTAGAGTGTTTACTTCCTTTTCAATAAATTAGTATGACCGGGAAGAGACGTGTGGTTTAGTGTATTTTTATTTTTATTTTGATATTTTTTTTCAACGAACCCTTAGAAGTTTTCCGGTTTATTAGTAGTGTTGTTATGTGTTCAAGACGCATGCGCAACTTTAAAGATCGAGAAGAAATGCGAAGCAAATCAAGACTCATCAAAATTTCCAGAGAATCCACAAACAGCCGGTATCGGTCACGATGGTCACCTGCAGCTGCTGCGATTTATGATCTACGCCTGACCTAAAAAGGATGTGCTCACAAACATGTTTTACCCTGCAACATTCTGTATGTGCCTGTCCAAAGTTAGGATCCTCTAATTTAGTGGTTGTCTCACGGGAGAGGGGGTCTCAACATACACATTTGGGTACAGATATCCGACTGGGGGTTTAATAAACCACCCCATGCACATATTGATTTGTGCGAAAATCCCTAACCATGCATTCATATATTTTATAGCAAAAATATTTATTTCCCAGCTATCATGACATCTTATTTAAATGTCCTTGGTCTCCGATGGAAATCTGTCTTATTGGCAATCATACCACATCTCTTTATTTTTTTATCGATCAGAGGAATAATCTGGATGAGATCACAACACACCATATGTACCAGTTTTGGTATTAATAAACTAGACTTTCCATCCTATATCAGAGGCGGATTTATTGGGGGGGGGGGGGGGGGGGGATTGTCCGTATGGAGCTTCATATATGGTTAATGTGTAGACTTTTTTTCCAAATCCTTTCCTTTCATTTTTTCATTTTTTTTTTTTTGTCAACCCCCACCCCTTCTTTTTCGAGAATCATGGATTTACATCTGTATACATCTGTATATGAGTTTCTTTAAGTCCAAGACGGCTGAAACATTTACATTAAAAAAAATTTATATGTAATAATCGTGTTCATTGATCTATCGGAAACAATCCTCCGTTAAGTGAATGTCGATAAGTGTATATTGTCACTCTAGAATATAAAAAGATAGATAATGTGATTTTCCAAGAAATAGAAAAAGGAAAACGGAAGTTCGCTAGTTACTTTAATAACTTTACTATTCTTTTAATATACTAAGTATACAAAGGTGTCGGATATGTTATGTGATTTCTCACGAAATAGAAAAGGATTTATTTTAGGAATGATTGTTCCAAAAATGAGTTTGAATGTTCCTCGAATCCAACTTCTAAAGAAGATCATTTTAGGACCGATTCTCGAACGTTGAATAGATTCTAAAAAGTAATTAATGAAATTGTTGGATGACTTTGTTCTATTTTTAGTAACCTAGAACATGAACATTGAATTTTTCGTCATCTTAGGGAGCTACCATTTGATTTTAATGGGGGTGGGGCATGAAAAATTTTGTCCTTCATTTTTATTTTAGTTGTAATCTCTGTCCTGCCTTTTTATTTTTCAATTTTTGTCGAGCCTTCGACTTTAGTCGAAAAAGCGAGACATAGTGATCCTACATTCCGTCGGCGTCTTCGTCGTCGTCGTCGTCGGCGGCGGCGTCCACAAATATTCACTCTGTGGTTAAAGTATTTGAAATTTTAATAACTTTCTTAAACTATCCTGGATTTCTACCTAACTTGGACAGAAGCTTGTTTATGATCATAAGATAGTATGCAGAAGTAAATTTTGTAAAAATAAAATTCCTGTTTTTTCGTATTTTACTTTGTAAATGGACTTAGTTTTTTGCCGGGAAACATTACATTCACTCTGTGGTTAAAGTTTTTAAAATTTTAATAACTTTCTTAAACTATCCTGGATTTGTACCAAACTTGGACAGAAGCTTGTTTATGATCATAAGATAGTATTCAGAAGTAAATTTGTTAAAAAATTTTTTTTCATTTTTTCCGTATTTTACTTATAAATGGACTTAGTTTTTCCGCCAGGAAACAATACATTCACCCTGTGGTTAAAGTTTTTAAAATTTTAATAACTTTCTTAAACTATCCTGGATTTGTACCAAACTTGGACAGAAGCTTGTTTATGATCAAAAGCTAGTATCTAGAAGGAAATTTTGTTAAAATTTTGTACCTATTTATCCGTATTTTACTTATAAATGGACTTAGTTTTTCTTCCAGTTAACATTAAATACAGTCTGCAGTTAAAGTTTTTAAAACATTTATTAGATTCATAAACTATCCTGGATTTATACCAAACTTTGACAGAAGCTTCTCACAATCAAAAGATAGTATCTAAAGGAATATTTTTATTTATTTGTTTCCTCATTTTTGTTGAGCCTGCGATTAACAGCAAAAGTAGGCGATACACTGGGTTCCGCGGAACCCTTACGAATTTTTTTATTATTAGTTTACCATGACTTTTTATACATAAATTGTCATCCTGCCATATTTTTTTTTGTTTGCCAAGTTGCTCATTTTGCCTTTTTTTACTCAAAACTCCTGTCCTGCCTTTTTTCAAATTTCATCCTAGCCCCCCATAAAAATCAAATGGTAGCTCCCTTACAAGAAACATAGTTTGGTGAATTAAATGGAAATATAAAGTTGCCCTTTTGACATTTGATTGGATAAACCTGGCAAAAAAGATGACCGCATTTACAATTTGTTTTCTTAATTTGTCAGTGGCCTATGAGTAGACTTAAAAGTTGGAGGGGCAGTTTTCTGAATGTGATCCCTCATACGTCAGTGTTTGTAAACTAAGTTTTAGGAAAAGTTTAAGGTATATGTTTCGAAATAATATGTCGGATCTATTTTAGGAATTAGGCATTGTGAGTAAATCATCGAATGCAATGATTATAAAAGTTTAACCTTTCCAAAAAGGTATGGTGTGCTTTTCAGTAACATAAATTAACGTCAGCTTTGGTTTTTGTGTGGAAAGGGGGGGGGGGGGGGGGGGGGGGGTAGAGAAAACGCCATTTTTTTTTATTTCTATTTTTTTATCAAGAGTATTTATTTTCATTAATATTCGGATTATACTTTTATTTTGGATTTCAATTTGTGAAGAATAGAATTGGCAATATGATACCAAATGCGACCTAACAGTGAATAGGCTCCGTTCCGAGGGTCATAAATAAGAGATTAAGAAAGGTAAATACACATTAAAATAGTCAAACTAACACATTATTCATCAGACGAAAGAGGTTATATCCGGATCACCTTGATTAGACTGACACGTTAAATACCAACAATTCTGACATAATAGTTTTACTCTGTCCGATAAATTTCCATACTGTCAGACCATCTATATATAATTTCTTCTCCATCTCCTGACGTGTTCCCAATTTTATAACTTATTCAAACCAATAGAATCTTAGCCACACTAATAAGCAACCAATCAGAACTGACTGTTGTTAAGTAACAATTTCAATTAAGATGGCGTGCATTTGAAAAGGCCAAAAAAAATAATTATTCTTTCCAAAATGTTTTCAAACAGACCAGAATTATTACAAAATCAGAATAAATTTACGAAGAAAATTGTTTTTATATCAACGACGGCCGAATGCGTAGCGGCATGGAAAGTTGTACAGAAAACATACATGAAATTCAGACATTTTTCTGCTGCAGATAAAAATGTGTATAAAAAATCTAAATAATAAAATATTTTAATTTTGTCATTTTGTCAATATTACATTTTTGTTTTTTTACAGATTTCATTACTCAAGCGGATTGCACAATGCATTTGAATGTCACGTGGGAAACGAGTACAAACATCGTTGGAATACTTGGACGAAATATTTCTGAATATATAAGAAATGCAACAGAAAATGCGTCTTTTCTGACCTTGGATGTATATAACGATTTAGTTTTTCAAAACAATCTTCTGTTATCGTTTATTTATATTCTTCTATTAATGATTATTGGAATTTCGGGAAACTTACTCGTTTGTTATATATATATATTTTATCAGAAAAAATCCCAAAGTACGACAAGAAGCTTCCAAGGGAGAAATAAATCTTCAAAATTGAAAACAACGGACATCTTCATCATTTCTCTAGCATGTTTTGATTTAATCAGCTGTTTGATAGCTATGCCAATGGAATTGACCTTGCTACGAAATTTCTTGACCTTTGATCATCCATTGTTATGTAAACTTTCCAGAGCTGTTTCTATGTTTTGTACAATATCAACGTCATTTGTTCTGCTAGCAATTGCGGTGTCCCGATTTGTAGGAATAAGATTACGCTCGATAAACATTAAAATCACAACATTTCATGCTAAAATAATAGTGATTGTTTCCGTTCTTTTCGCCGTAGCACTGTCATCTCCCGTATTGGTCCTTTATGGGACATATACATTTCCTTTAACCGTTGGGGTATCAGCGAGTACTTGTTTGATTACCAACGAATATGCAGAAACAGATTATCCATTTATAACAATAGTTTGCTTATCTGCTTTTCACTTGTTTTTTGATATTTTGTTTATAACTTTTTATGGACTAATCAGTGGAAAAGTAGTCCGCAATAAGCGTACATTTTCAACAATAATCAGAAATAACAGTTCTAACCGCTCACAGGGACAATCGATCGAATCGAAAACGAATTCGCTAGTTTTATCCAATGAAGGGAACCAGAATGAAAACGTATCACTTACAAATACTGCATCCGACAAAACCAAGTGCGATGATGTGTTCTTAAATCACATCGGTGAAGATAGCAATGAAAATGGTCAACAGTGCCCTGCTCTGAACAAAAGAATGATTAAACCAATAAAGATAAACAAAAGAAAGAAATCCTCAAGTACATCCACTGGGTTCTCTAGGCGTAGCTGTAAATCATTGCGCAAAGGCAGTTCATATTCCAATGAAACAAACGTTCATGGAAGGACTTATAAAGCAAGCCGGACTACTTTTATGCTATTCATAGTAACGCTGGCTTTTATGGTGACATTTGCGCCGTATTGCATTGTGGCTTTGTTAAGGAACTTGGAAGGTGTTGGATATTATTCTAAATTGACAGACATTCAAAAGACTGTGTATCAACTTTTCTTGAGATCTTATTTTCTTAGCAGTGCAATCAATCCAATTATATACAGCTTTCTCAATCAGTCGTTTAAGAGTCGAAGTAAAACCATACTTAAAAAGATTTTTAACAGTATGTTATGTCTAAAACAATAAAATGAATTTTTAAGGAGACTAGTGCATATTTTTGCGATAGAACAAGAGCAGAAAAACTAATTATTATTAATAAATAAAATTGTGCATGTATTATTTGTAGTAAATGAATCTTAATAGGGTTCTTCATACGTATATCATTTTGTGGTTGTTAGGGTGATCAATCAGGACTATATAAAAGATGACAATGTGTATCCTTTCTCTCAAATATTGCAAGCAGTTAACTCTTACTGCTGGAAGGATTTTCAGATTTTTTTAAAATAAGATTTTACTGTAAAACTCTGTATTTTCAGTTACGAAAATGACAATGTCTTTAAGCTATCGTCTTTCAGTTGTTAACATAGCTGTATAATTTAGCGAATATCCTCGGTAGCCATTGATCCATTTCAGAATTTAAGAGAATTTTGTCACGGGAGGGGGTCTAAACTTAGGTACATCGTCCGGTTGGGGTTCAAATCCACCTCAGTTCGTATATTGATTTCAAAGCATCGTCCGTGCTGTGAGCTAGACTCTGACTTGAACATCCAAACTGACAAAGTCATATAAATAATCACCATAGGCCATTTCTTTATGCATTTTTTTAAACGAGGCATGTGTTAGGAGCTATCTTTTCTTGTATTAAAAGCGAAATACGTGTGTCTTTGTGAAGATGTGTCTTACTTTTGTATACCCTATTCTAACAGCATTCGTTTCTTAATGACGCATACACATATATATTATGGATAGCCGTCTCATTCGACTCGCTCCCTTTTGGGATGTACAGGTATGGATAAAAAAATGTAATAAAGATCAATTTACAATAAGTCAAAATAAAACTCTTCTAATATCTTATTCTCACCAACCTCATCCCCATTAAGTTCAGGTTCCACGCCTGATGTTTTTGCGCTCACTGACATTTACAGTGTCCCAATATAATGTAATTCTCTACTTTTTTTTACAACCGCAAGCATTTGCGTGCGTATAATGTTAATGCGATGTCGTCGTCGTCGTCGTCCGAAGACATTTAATTTTCAGACAATAACGTGAGTATAAGTGTATGCATGGTTCTATATGAAATTGTACCTCAAGGTTGAATACTACAAAAGGAAGATTGGAATTGATTTTGGGGATTATGGCCCAAACATTTTTCTGGTTTATGAACAATTATGTAGACGTATGAAATTGTACTACAAGGTTCCATACCAAAAAAGGAAAGTTGGATTCAAATTGGTGGTTATAAAATTGAGAATGACTGTATCCGTTGAGTAATTAGGGGCCAAAGAGGGGTAAAAACAAGCATTTTTAAACTTTGATTGAATCTAAAAATAAAATGATGTGGTTCAATTGCCAACTCTCCACGAGCGACCAAATGACATAGAAATCAACAACTATAGGTCACCGTACGACTTTCAACAATGAGCAAAACCCATACCGCATATTCAGCTATAAAAGGTCCCGAAATAACAAATGTAAAACAGTTCAAACGAGAAAACTAACGACGATATTTACGTACAAAACAATGAACGAAACACAAATATGATATGCAGCAACAAACGATAATCACTGAATTACAGGCTCCTGACTTGGGACAGGCGCATACAGAATGTGGCGGAGTCAAACATGTTTGCGGGCCCCCAACCATCCCCCTAATCTAGGATAGTTGGTTAACAGCACAACATATGAACAAACTATAAAAATCAGTTGTAAAGCAAGAAACAAAAACACAGACCGGATGTGGCAGGGTTTTTATACATCTTCACAATAAAAAGACACTTAAGTTCATATCTGAAAGTACTAGCAGTAAGACAGCTAGTTGAAGTTCAAAGCCAATAACAACTGATACAAATAATCATAATATCTCAGACTTAAATGTCAATCAGTACACATCCAACATCCAATAGATTAAGTGTAAAGACGTCATTAACAGTCGGAGAAAAACACGATCTCGAGCAATGCCGAAATACAGGTATCGACAGATTGCAGATCCGTGAATGTGCATATGTATATTGAATAATCATGAAATAATTGGGTTCTTTGATATGCTTAATCGTACCGTGTATTTAGAACTTTGATTTTTGGCCGTGTTTTCAAGTGGGTCCAAATTATGGTGTTAAAGTAAACTTTGATTTGATTTCAATATTCTGAATCTAAATGCTAAGTTATTATTCCAATTCAAATTTCAAATTGGTCCACATCAGGTTCCACAAGGTCAAACATTAAACTTTGTTTGATTTCAACAAAAATTGAATGGTAGGGGTTTTTGCTATGCTGAATTGCTTATATTTGTTTTATTTACGCTGATATATTAATTTTAGTGATAATGATTCATATACTGTTCTATTTAAATGATTTTCAGTTCTTCGATCACATTAATTCTGTGTCAGAAACCTATGCTGTGTCAAATACTTAATCCCATTTCAAATTCAGAGCTTTATCAAGCTTAAACGTGGTGTCCATACTTGCTCCAACTGTTCAGGGTTCAACCTCTGCGGTCGTATTAAGCTGCACCACGCGGAGCATTTTATTGATTTATGTAGTACGATTATGACGTCACCAAATGGAACTCGGGTCATGGAATTTTTACTTGCATTTATTATAACGATGATAGCCTATAGTGGACAAGTGGATCTGTTAGCATTAACTCTATAATATTATATATCATTCGAATGCTTATCATCTGTACCTTCTGATTTTTGCACGGTCGTCAGTAATTCGTTCGGTGCAATACTCGTGAAATCAAGGTCAAAGGTCAAGAATGAACATTCCTAAATTTTGCAAGAATTAATCAAAATGCCCTTTTCTGGTTCTTGTTTGAATTTTTTTTGCTTTAAATATCATACAAACCTTATAGAACAGAATTCCATAGTTCCAAATAGAATGCAAATTAATATTTTGATTGCGCAATATTTACAGAAAATTGCAATTCTTAAAAAATCCTCCAAAAAAGATTAAATTGCGCTGAAAGCAACATATCTTTTAGGGTATCAATATTTAAATCTCAAGAAATAAATTTATCGTTTATAGAATAAAGGATTTTTTTCTCATTATTTAAACTGCAAATAATATAATACTGGTGAATAGTTAGTCTTCTAATGAAGCTTTCGCAGTTGGCCTAATAACACCATCTGCAAATAGGAATCATTTTTGGTTTTCTTTGATTAGATAACACATCGATTGTTGTCAATATCAGGAAATGAATATTTTATCATATTTGAAAAGGGGTAATACAAATGCTTTAAGGAATATACAAGGCATATACAGTAAAATTATGTATCATTCAATATTCGACAGAAAACTGTTTGCACCTAGCGCTTTTAAAACACAAATTCGGCTATTTTTTATGTTAGTACATTATTACATACTATATTATTTGTTTTATCAAATAAGAGAAAATATTAATATTGTTTTATAACAGAAAACGTGATTCAGCATAGCATAAAACATACAAACATGAGCTCTGGTGAGCTTTATACAGGACTGTTAAATATTGATTACCCTTCCTGAGCAACTGCGATCACCGCCGGTTTCAGGTAGACAAATAATTGTCCGTACACTTCGATGTAGTGTTTTTGAGGACTGCTGATTGTTTGTGCGACTTTTCCGCTTTGGTCATGGTGTTATCTGTCTCATTGTTATTTTCAACACATCATCCACAATTGCAGTAGTATTCAGTGACAGACTATCGACGAAAGGTTGAGTATGCTGTAGATTGCAGATGGCTTTTACAGAAGTAGCAGCTAAGTTGGATGGTGTACGTCCAAGTAACTCATGCAATCTTGATAAAGAAACAGCATCGGCATTTTTGGAACCTGGTCTGTAGACGATCTTAAAGTTGTATGATGCTAATGCTGCAATCCAACGGTGGCCAGTTGCATCTAGTTTGGCTGATGTCAGCACGTATGTTAGAGGATTTTTGTCTGTCAGTATTGTAAAGGTATTTCCATACAAGTAGTCTTGGAATTTCTCGTTGACAGCCCATTTTAATGCCAAAAATTCTAACTTGTGTACTGAGTAGTTTCGCTCGGTCTAACTGAGTCCTCTCCTGGCGTAAGCTATAACACGCTTCTTGTTGTCCTGTTCTTGGTATAATACAGCTCCTAAGCCTTGCATGGATGCATCAGTGTGTAACTCAAACTGTTGATTGTATCGTGGAAAACTAAGTATAGCTAGTGCTGTTTTGAGTGTTTGGAAAGCATTTTCTTGAAGATCTCCCCATATCCACGAATGACTGTTTGGATCTCGGAATCGTGGCTTGCCTTTCTTTGTTGAACTTTTTCGGTAAAGGCATTAAGTCGGTGAGTGGTCTGGCAATTTTCGAAAAATCTTTGACGAATTTCCGGTAGCATGTTGAATTCGTAAAAACCCAGTGGACCGACAGTGAAAGCAGTTAACTGCTAGTGGGACTCTTCTACCTCTACCTGATGGTACCAGCTCTTCATATCAAGTACTGTTTACAGCGTGTTACCTCCTAGAGGTTGCAATTCTGTAAATATAGACAATGCAATTTCCCATAGGAACTCCCTTTGCGGCTAAAACTGTGACACTTTTACTATGAAGTTTCGTGAAAAATAATATCCCAGAACGGAAAGTTTATATGCACTACTATTTTATTCAAAGGTCAAAATATAGGGCTGTGCGGCATATTTTCAACACTTATATGCCCTGAACTTCTAAGAGTTTAAACTTATACTAAAATTCTATACTACCCTTACCTTCATATTTGGACCTCCTAAGAATTAAAATTTAGGCGCTACCATGTTTTTCTATACTGGTTACATTCCCAAGTGATGTCTCTATGAGATGAAACACAGAGATCATAAATGGGAACCAGTACATTAACAAATTAACATATCTATGAATATTATATATCTCCCCAAAAGAGGCGTGGTTTGAGAAACAGCTGTATTTACAAAGTGCAACCTATACAAACATTTATTCAAATAGAAAACCTTCTAAAAACACTTTTTCTCACAACATTACTTATTTATCAGAATTATAGCCTTAAGGAAATCACTGCATATACTCTAAGTTCCCTTTTACAGTACATTTTATACCCCTACCCCTGTTTCAATTTTTTAAAGAATTTGAAAACAAGACTTTAATCATTGCCAGCTTAC